GACTCAGGATAATAGCACTAATGACAAGAACTTCCTGAGCCCTCAGTGGGCACCAGGGCTGTACTGGGTGCTTGCTGGGCACCATTGCACCTAATCCTTCAAAGAAACCTATGAGGTAGTCCTAGGGTCACCCCATATCACAGATGCAGAAACAGCTGAGGGCAGTCAGATACCCTGCCCAGGTTCCAATATTATCCAATGACTGGATGAAGATTCATCCTGGATCTGTGTGTCCTTAGAGCCATGTCCCAACCACCAGGCTCTGCTAATCGGTTCTATATTTGCAACCAAGTTTGTTCCCCAAGAAAGCTTTTCCTCAGTCCTCAGCTAAGACTACAAACTCCATAAGACGTTGCTCTCATTTCAAACTCCTTAAACAAAGAAAAATACTCTTTTGAACTACCTGGGAAACTACATTTTCCTTTCTCCTCTCCCAGCACAAAGGGGTATTTATCTGTGTGCCCAGGGAGTACCAACACCAACCCACTTGTTACTAAAGGAAGAAAAGCCACATGTGCCAACTCTGGCTTTCAGCACATCATTGGATGTTTCGCCCTGGCTGCAAAAAGCAGAATTCTTTCAACCAAAACGTTCTACCTCAAAACAACATAGTGGCCAACTCTGCAATTACACATCCCAGTTGGAGACATCTGCTTTCTACTCTATTTCCTGAATGCAGAAGGTCCAATTCGCTAGTCTGCTAATGGGTCCCACCAAAGGCCCAAATGCAGCATAATGAACTGGAAAAGCAAAGCTGTGTAGGTTTGAATCACTGTGTGGTTTTTCCAGGAGTGCTGTGAGGAGCTTTATGTTAAATCAGCCCTACACTGCTTCACTCACCTGGAGAGTGGGGCCCTGATCGGGTTTGCCGAGCTCCAGCCCTTCGACCATCAACCGATGCTTAGTGGCAGCTGTCGGCAACGTGCTTTCTGTCCAGTGTTCCTCCTGTTGAGCCCAGCCCCAAACCCTCCCCCTTCCTCTCCTCTCCCTTCGCTGTTCTGCGTCTCCCGTTACAGGACGCCACAGGCTTGGCTGTGGAGTGCTGCACTGCCACTGTGACAAGGATTTACGAGGAAGGTTGCAGAAGCCTCCTGGATATTACCCACCAGCGGCTCTAATTTTCTCAGCTGGCAGTTTCTATAAGAAAGGATGCTCTCCTAAACAGTTATGCCAGAGGGGAAGTACACCATGCACTGGGGTTCATATCTACTTGTGGTAATTAATTCATCAAGGTTCTTTAAGGAACACATAAACCTAAGGGCAATGGAGGCAACAAATGAGAGAATTATATGAACTTTTAGGAAGTGTTTGACAGTAATACAAAGGGAATTTTAAAACACTATGAGGTGGAGAGGAAAGTTTATCGTGATTATGAATGTAGCCTAGAGACAGGAAACAGGGTTGAGACCAACTGATACCAATGAATGAATAGAAATAGTCTGGTGTCTAGTATTGGTAAACATTTTTATAAATGATAAAGAGAAGAAAATACCCAGTGACCACTTCAGGTTTCTAGTTAACCACTGCCTACCTATAAATGCCAACTGGAATAAGTCAGTAAACCTCCAGAAGAAAGCACACAAAATAACAGACATTTTTATGTGAAAAAGTGTACGTTACATACTACTCCATTGTATAACATTCCACCACATAAATATCAAAATTACAACCAGAGAAAGGGTCCTGAGAATCCCTCTAGATTCTTCCCCTGGAGATATTTAAGGCACTGTGCTGTTCTGGCTTAAAAGTGTCCTTGTGATGGGCATGGGATGGCCACTGGGGCCGAGTCACCAGGGAGGGTATCAGAAGTCAAACAAAGGCTGTCATGTGTCCTTGTAGAAACCGTGATGTGCCCTCACATAGAGGACCAGGTATAGTTTGTTTATCCTACCTGCCAAAGGCTACAGCAGATCAAGAAATTGCCCAGAGAAAGCCATTCAAAAATATCAAGGTAGCAGTAGTAAAAACAATAATTGCATTGACAATCACAGAGCATTTGCTGTACGCCAGGCACTATTCTAAGTGCGTTATGCGTGTTCAATCATTTACTCTTACCAACCCATGAGGTAGGGACTGCTGTGACCCTATTGCAGAGATGGGAATACCAAGGCATAGAGAGTTAAAGAAGCTTGTCCGAGTCACAAAGCTAGTATCTGCACCCAGGCCACGCGGTACCAGGCTTCAGGCTCTTAACTATAGGCTACTTATTATACTACCCGAGAAAGGCTGAACGGAGTGCCATGCTGTTCCACTGGGAGACGAAGGCTAAAAGTAATTTATCTAAGTTAATAAAACCCAAACAAGGCCTGATGGGGAAATCATGGACTTTCTAACAAATTGTAGATTTACTAAAGTTAGAATAAATTTCAGACAAACAAAAAGGAAAACTGCTTTGCACAGCAGGAAGTCTAACATTTTATTTTCCTCAAGAACAATGGAGACTACAAATTCTAGTAGACTCCAAAAGAGTGTGGGCAATCAATAATGTGTCACTGTGGGAAAGAGATTTGTTCTGAGGCTTTCTATCCTCTCCGGTATAAGATAACAGGGAATTTCCAGGCCCATTCCCCCAGGAATACCCTTGGTTCTGTCTCTCAGGGGCAGGCTCTGGGGCTGAAGAAATGAGGGCCTTCCCCGGGGTGGCAATGCCTCCGTCTGTTTCTTACTACCCTTCCTGTTCCTCGGGTCTTCTGCCCCCTATTAGCCAACCTCATCTCTAGGAAGCTCCAGCCCAGGGAAGAAGGTGGTTTGTGGGTGTGGGCAGCAGCTCTCAGTGTGCAGTGACAGGGAGCAATTGCCAAAGAATTCCAAGGGGCTGGGACCCACGGCAGTTGTAGAAATCCTGTGCTGGGTAGGTGGTGGTCCAAGTTTCACAACTGAGGACCAAGGGGTCCTTGCTCCATGGTGCCTGCTCTGCCTGCTTCCCTCGTCTGTCCCACGAAAAGCAAGGAGACAGAGAGGGGAGGTCTTGGCCGTCTCTGGGAAGGGTGACAACCCTAACTGCAGGCCCAGCGGTCTCTGGCCTCTGCTTCCTTTCCTCTCCTTATGCTTCAAAGGCCTCTGGCTCCCCACGCCAAACATCCCTCAAGGAGTTGGAAGAGCAGCACAAAACACATCTGGTTACACGCGGGGCTAGCTCACTGGGCAATGGAGGGACCTAGGGTGAAATCATTTTATTTCAAGGGTCTGCTGATCTGGCAGCTCCAGGGAACAAAGGTTCCCCACTCTGGTGTGTGTGCTCCTGGAGAAGAAGGCCTTGGGCGTTGTATTGGTAGAGGGGGTGGTACAGGGTATAAAAAGTAAAAAATTATTAAGTGTAACGCCAGGCTTGGTGAACCGGATCAGTGGCAGGAGGCAGATATGTTGCAATATTAACTATTATTGAATTGTTCAGTTTCAAAGCATTCAAGAGACACACATGCTGACTCTAACTCAGGTCTATTAAAAGGCATTCAGCTCTCCATCAGCTACAGACATTTTAGCACAAGCCTTAGAGGTGGAACAGAGGCGATTTCAGCTTTTACTCACCTACGCAGTTATCGCAAAGGCTACAATGAGAGGCGCGAGGGGGCCGGAAAATCTTGCAGGTGAAACAATATTTAAGTTTCACAGTCTGGCCATTGATGATTACTTCTTTGGTTCTGGGAGGCGGGCGGTACCCCCCTGAACTGGTGCCGTTTGCGATATCTGTGGAGAAAAGAAAAAGAGTGCATGCTCTTAACATAGCACTTAATCTCTGCAGGCCCTCACACCTAGACAGCCTGGGGTCGGCATTTCCAAGTGCAGTTCCCACACCCAGCCTCCGGTCACCTGTGCCTTTTTGGGAGGCTCCTGACACCAGACACAAAAACGTGCTGTCCCACAACCTTGGCGCTCTTTGCTTGGGCTCAGGGCTGTGCTTACTAGTCCACATCGGTGGCACGTACTGAGCTCTGACCAATGGGGTGAGATAACACGATGCCCCGCCCACTCTCCCTACTCCCACTCCCTGGCCGCCTTGGAGCTACAAACTGGGGACCCCGCATGACCAAGCATAGGAAGACTGCCCCTGAGACTGCTTAACTAGGCCATACTGTTACATGAGCGCCAAATTCCTAGTGTTAAATTGCTGAAGACTTGGGTTTATTTTGTTACAGCAGCTAGCGTTGTCCTAATTAATACGGTGGGTGATATTTACTTTCAGAAACACTTTTCTTCTTCTATGGTGTACTCCAAATCCAGCTCAAGACTCTGCCCGGTTTGCCCATTGGCCCCCTCAAAAATACCAGGTTTTGAATGGGGGAAATATATATATATATCTTTAAAAATAATTTCTATGTTTTGTTTTCTGACCAGCATCTTATATTTTAGAATCAGTTTTTTAAATGTTGAAGAAAATACAAATATATCTATTTTTTAAAAAGTTTTATTTTATCTTACAGGTTGGTTCTTCCCCCTTAGAATCACCCAGGGAGCTCTTAAAACTCCCCTAATTCATGGACCCTTCCGCAGACCCATTAAGTCAGAGCCACCCGACTTATGAGATTCCCTGGGGTTCGCGCACCTGAAAGTTTGAGAACCCCGCCCTGGGTGCCTGTGAATACACCCGGTCCACACAGCACACCCGCTTCTGACTCTCACATTCCTTTTTGTTATGTATCCAAATACACTCACGTGTGTGATAAAGAACTAAGAGAACTCAGCTTTGCTCCCCTGAAAGGGCCGCTTCACACATCACTCCCAGCTACCCAAGCATTTTCCCACGGAGAGCCTGGTGGTTCGGACAGCCGGCGGCACCCTCTGCCCCCCAGCAGGGCTGCTGTCACTCACTGACAGAATCCACAATCCCAACGTCATGATTTCAGCGCCGCTCTACCCCAATCTTCTCTAAGGGGCTGTGAGAGGCCTGAAATCTGCCCCTGGCCTTTTAGCCTAAGGCTTTGGTATTTGTGCAAATATCAGCCTCACTGGTAAGGGAACATTCTGAGCGATTACTATTCATTGTAACCATAAGTTGTAGAAGGTCGTAGAAGTGGGGGGATGGAGAGTTCAGGGACAGGTGAGGGACAGAAGGCAGTATGGAGGGCAGAGAAATGGAGACGGAAGAGCAGCCTTTGTACTTCACCTTTGTGTGAGGACAACCTTCCTACTCAGAATAAACAGCTATGGGGCCATCCCAAGAATGCTGGGTGATCTTGCCAAGCAGGACACCCTCTCTTGGCATATGCCCCCCGTGCCTGGTAACCCCAGGTGAATTCAGCATCTGGAGAGGCACCCAGCTCTCGAAGCATATACACTGGGAAGAGGAAGGCATCTCAACAGATGCTGTAATAAGGAGAAAATAGACCACGTGACTGTGTACTTCCCTGAGCATCAGGGTAAAAATAACTGGCTTTGAACACATCAAGGATAAGGTCAGATCTCTACGGGTGCCAAATGGGTGCCACTGAGGCCTAAATTAATTATGACCTGGTGCCTCCCTGGCCTTATGTCAGCTGTGAATTCTATTTAGCTCTTGCAAACATGGGTAGAAAAACTAGAAAGTCAGATATAGGTTTAAAAATAAGAATCTAATCAATAATATTTGTGTCAATTTCATCAGAAAAGTTTAAAAACTGATTTGTCGAGGAAAATAGTTGAAAAAGCAGGGATGACAAACTTATCCACACTAGAACGACTACTAAAAAAGCCGACTTCCGAGGGGCAATGATGAAAAAGTGAGTATTTGCCAGCACTCCTTAAGACAAGCTCTATGATCTCAAAGTTCCCAAGTACATTTTCGAAAGATTAAACCTTCGACACAAAGTGAGCTGAAGGCTAGAATTCAACAGACATGGTAAACTGACACGAATGAAACTAAACCCACACACTCTTTGATTAAATATTTGGAGAAATGGAAGAATCAGAAAACCTGGATTCAGGGTCTAGCTATGCCATCGTTGAGTGACTGAAGGGCCACAGAGCTAAATATAAAACAGTCAATTGATATTTATAAAGTATTCACTACAAACAAAATACCGTGCCAGAGGCAGTGGAGGACCCATAAGTGAGCACAGATGTCTTGTGGGGAGGGACCAGCACGGGGTCCTGCTGGGCTCTTTGGTGAGTAACCCAGCCACCCCATGCCCGTCTGCTCTCCTTACAGCCTTCAGAGCCCACTTGCTAAATGCAAGTCTGACTAAGAAACGTGGGGCCTCCATGCACCTGGCGGCCCCTCTTTTCTTGTAGCACAATCTTACACAGAGCCTGTGCTCGAAGCACAGCGGCCTCCCGAGCTCCCTGAACAGGCAGGCAATGTTCTTACATACTCCGAGGCGTCTGCACTTGACATCTTCCCCATCTGAGCCTATCCGTGTAGATAACCCTTATCCTTTAGGTCAGGCTCCAGCTTCTCTGTGGAAACACTGCGAAAGCAGAGTTCCTTATTTCCTCCTTTGGGCTCTCACTGTACTGAGCTCATTTATTTATCGAGTCAATAGCTCTGTATTATGCTGTTCAGTGCCAGCCCCGTGCTGGGAGCCGGAGGTGCGGCAAGAACTACACAGATTTGTTTCTCTGCTGGTGGTAGTCACAGGCTGGAGGGAAGACTTGGACCTCTGCGAACGCGTCCAGCACAAGGATCGGCTTTCCTGGCTCCCCCCTGATGCTGCTCCAGGGCAGGGGCAATGCCTTCCCCACTTTCATTTTCCCAGCATCTAGCACGCAGTAGGTCCTCAAGAATAACCTGCTGAATGGAAGGCCAATTGTCCTGGCAGATAGGAAGCAACGATTCCGGATGCACAGGACTGGTGTCCTAACTCCTCCACGCCCACCTGTCAGTCACACTGCCCGGTGACTCCGCCCTCCCCAGGAACGCCTGTCACAAGGTCCTACTGAGGCTGTCGCGCCTCAAACATGTCCATAGCCACTGCTGGTCCAGAGACCCATCTCATACAGCTGGTCAGTGTCACCTCGGAGGGCTGGGCAAGACGGGCAACTAGCTCCCTCAGGGCCACCCACAGTCGCTGTTTCTTGCATGTACTCCCTTCAGTAGCCTCTGCAGACCAGCAGCTCCCAGGCACGCCTGCGCCAGGGCGGATGTGACTAATGAGGCCTGGAAACCCACCTGAGGACAAAAGATGTCTCTCTTTAAACGTTCAGACTGGCGCCAACAGTCTTCGTGGCATCTGCTTCTCTCCCTGGGGATGACAAGCACCCGCGGCTGGCGTCAGGGGTGCAGGAGGTGGCGTTCCTGGTCTATTCCTCAGTTACTTATGTTTTTGGCTTTGGGTTTTGTTGTTGGCAACAACTGTGCCTCTGCTTGTTAGGGCTGCTCTTTGTGGTTTAAATACAGTTGTTGAAAAAGAATAATTGAGGTCTGCAATAGCGAACGGTTAAAGATCACTAGAACTTGGGGCGGGGGAACCTATAACAGCTCTGCATGTTTATATGAGTCTTTTTCAAGGACATTTTTATACACAAGCATTTTAAAAGAAAACTTAAAAGCTTAAAATGGTCTTTTTCTTCATACCTCTCCCCACCCCAAATTGTTGCAGCAGATATAGTAACAGAATCTTGGTTTAGCATTCACCTCACAATGAGCCTACGGGCAAAAAATTCGGGGAACTGGGCAGAGAGGGAGAGGGCTGGTCAGTGTGAGTTCCAGGACACAAAACTGCCCGTTGACTAAAGTTGTAAGTTGTCTGTTAATATATACCTAGTTCAAAGCCACTCTCCAAAAAATAAGTCATCCTCTTTTCTTGAAAGAATAATCGAGTTCACCTCCTGTGAGACCCATTTGTTTGCCATCTTATTTATTCCTGCCCCAAATGCAGGGACAAAATTGTGGAACTTCTAAAATCGCTGACCTTCACCATACAGTAGCCCCGCTTTACCTATGCTTTTGCGTTCCATGGTTTCAGTTGCCCATGGTCAACAGTGTTCTCAAAATATTACATGGAAAATTCCAGAGATAAACAATTCATAAGTTTTAAATTGTGTGCTGGTCTGAGGACCTCACTTCATCTCATCTCGTAGGCCTTGTGTCATTTCACATCGTCATAGGAAGAATGGTGAGTACAGTACAATCAGTTTGCGAGAGAGACCACATTCATATAACTTTCTTATAGTATATTGTTATAGTTATTCTATTTTATTATTAGTTATTGTTAATCTCTTCCTGGGCCTAATTTATAAATTAAACTTTATCATAGGTATGTATGTATAGTAAAACACATAGTTTAGTGCTATCTGCAGTTTCAGGCATCCACGGGGCTGAGGGGTGGTCTTGGATGTATCCTCTGCAGATAAGGGGGGGCTACTGAATAAAATAACTTACACTGTATTTTTAAAATGCAAAGAGAAAAAGCCTGATTTAAAGATGTAGATTAATGTTTTTTCCTTTACCAAAAGGATCCAGGACAGTTGCATCCCCTGGTGCTCTGAAGTTTCATAGATGGTTCACCAGTTGACTCAGTGGGAGGAACCTTTACTACTAGGTGATTGGCTAGAAGGAAGATAAAATATTCCCACTAGGATGTAAGTCACAGGGAAAGTGCGATTTGCATTCTATTCAAGACTATTAATATATGTATTGCATGTGCTGAAGGACAGCAGTTGGATCTAACAGATCTGAAATTTTCATTAGGCCCCTTTCATTGATGCTTTGCAGTATATGGGACACAAGCCACCCAATCTTGGAATGGTTGATCTATCATGATGGAAGGTGG